ATTTCAAAAAAAAAAAGAAACAGAACATTAAATAAAATAGAAAAAGAAAAATGTTCACAATTTCAAAAAAATGTTCACGATTTTAGGAAATGTTCATGATTTCAAAAAAAAAGAGAAACAGAACATTAAAGAAAAGACAAAAATAAAAATGTTCACAATTTCGGAAAAAGTGTTCAACATTTCAAGAAATGTTCAAGATTTCAAAAAAAAGAAACAGAACATTAAAGAAAAGAGAAAAAGAAAAATGTTAACAATTTCAAAAAAAATCACGATTTCAGAAAACGAGAAACAGAACATTAAAGAAAAGAGAAAAAGAAAAAAAACTAATCAAAAAAGGTAAAAAGAAAAAGGAAATACAAAATAAAAAAACCGGCAAAAATAAACAAGAAAAAACCGGTTTTGGGAAGGTTCGAACCTTCCCTGAACTGGTGGGGAGGAATACCTATATGGGCGGAATTAAGTAACCACCAGAATGTGCCGGCCCTGCTGGCCGCAGGCCTTCAGCGCTTATTTTCATCCGTTTTTTTCCACAAATTTTATTTTTCCCTTTATTTTTTGATTTACTTATATTTAGAAGTTTTCTAAATATATCGATTATACAAATCACTTTACATACACATTTGAAAATTGTTAATCGCACAATTGAAAAAGGTTAAACATGTATAGAAAAATGGTTCTAATCTGTACAGAAATTGTACATTGTGTATAAAAAAGTCGACATCAAAACATATATATGAAAAGAAATGTTATTCATGTATTTAAGAAATGTTAAACATGCATATATAAAATGTTCCTGATGCATAAACAAATATAGAATAAGTATGAAAACAGTAGACATAAAATATATATGTTTAGAAAATGTCAATAATGTATTAGGAAATGTTAAATGTGCATATAAAATCATTTCTAATCTATACAAAAATTTATAATGTATTTGGAAGAGTAGAGATAAAAATATGTAAGTTTTTAAAAGATATAATCATGTATTTCAATAATGTTAACCATGTGAATAAAATAATCGTGGTGTATACATAAAATGTAGAATGTGTATGAAAAACATTGACATAAAAATATATGTTTGAAAAAATGTTAATTATGTATTTAAAAAAATTTCAACGTGCACACAAAAAATGTTTAGTGCCATTAAAAAATGTATGTGAAAATTTAAATAAATATTCACGTGTTTCCAGTAAATGTCTCTGAAATTTTTAAAAATGTTATACAACGTTAAAAAGTTTCCGTAGTTTGAAAAAAATGTTTATTACCATTAAAATTTTCAATGTGCATTTTGAAAATGTTGACCATCTACGCGAAAATGTGTTTAAAACCATAATTAAAAATTGTACATCATGTATTTGTAAATAGTGAGCATGTATCCAGAAAATGTTTCACATGTATAGTAAAAAAAGTATATTGTGTACTAAGCACAGTTGACATGTGTTAAAAAGAAAAACAATTGAAAATCGATAATAAAAAAAAATAAAGCCAACAGAAAGCCAAAGAAAAAAGAAAATAAAAAAGAAAGAATGCATGAAGACCGAGAAAGAAACAATGAAAAGTGGTAAAAAGCACTCCCTCCATTTCACATTGTAGTGCGTCCGCGCTTCCCGAGATATAAATTTGACTATAAATTTAACCAACGAAACCAACTGCGGTGGAGCAAAAATTATACCACTGAATTCGTATTTTTGATATAAATTCAGTGGTATAATTTTTGCTCCCGTCGCAATCGGCATTGTTGGTTAAATTTATGGCCAAACTTAAATCTCGAAAACCGCGGGTGGACTACATTGTGGACTGTAGGGAGTATAAAGAAACAGACAGAAGAAAAGAAATCAGTTGAAACCAAGGAAGAAACCCTATGAGAAAACATAAAAAAAGAGAAAGGAAGAAACAGCAGATGATTCTTTGATTCTTATAAAAGCAAACCAACACAATGCAGAAGCTCTAAAAGCAACGCTTGATCTATACTGTAAGGCATCAGGACAATTTGTAAGCGTTGAAAAATCCAGCATTTTCTTTAGCCCCAATACGAAGGTGGAGATTAGAGCACAGTTATGTACAACACTGAATATAATGACGGAGGCTCTTACTGATAAATATTTGGGCCTGCTAGTAAATGTGGGGATGGATAAAATAGACTGTTTCCAATTTTTGATTGAACGAATTATTAAGAAAATCAATGGCTGGAAGGAGAAATTGTTGTCCACCGGGGGGAAGGAAATCCTGGTCAAGGCTGTGATCCAAGCCATACCCACCTATGCAATGTCGGTCTTTGAAATTCCTAAAAAAATTGTAAAGGAATCATTGACGCGATAGCGCATTTCTGGTGGGGAGACGAGGAGAACCAGAAAAGGATGCATTGGATGCCCTGGTGGAAAATGTATGTTCCTAAAAATCAAGGAGGCATGGGATTTCGTGATATTCATTGTTTCGACTTGGCGTTGCTCGCTAAACAAGCGTGTCGTCTTCTGGATAACCCTGATTCTTTGTGTGCTTCTATCTTAAGGGCAAAGTACTACCCTGATGGTGACTTGATGAACGCTAAACAAAGGAAAGGCTCTTCTTTTACATGGCAGAGTATTATGGCAGGCATCGTTACCCTGAAAAGAGGCTATATCTGGCGAGTGGGGAACGGACAAAAAATAAATATTTGGGAAGATGCTTGGATCCCAAACTGTGCTAATAGGAGAATTGTAACGCCGAAGGGGGGACATCTGTTAACCAAGGTAGGTGATCTCATTGATCCTGTGTCCAATAATTGGGATGAAGAACTCATCAAACAAACTATGTGGCCCATTGATATACAACGGATTCTTTCAATTCCACTCTCGCAATATGATATGCCAGATTTTATTGCTTGGAGCTATACAAAAAATGGAATGTTCTCGGTTCGGTCAGTGTCGTGGTTCTAAGTCTGACAGTAGAATAGGGGTAGTATAACGGAGCATGATCTATCGAGATGCATATGGGTGACACGGTGGTTTTAGCGAGTTCGGGCCTCTCACGGTGGAGATAACAACCCTACGTCTCGTGCTCCGGAGAGGCTTTGTTTTATCTGAGTATATATCCAGAGATTACAATGTGTGTGAGAGAGAGGAACGGATCCCCATGCCTGAGCTAAGTCCTGAGACTAATGGTGAAAAGAGAGAGAGGTGGAAGAAGAGACCCCCCCAAGTCTAGTGGTGGGGGGAGGCTTATATAGAATGCGCCACCCCCTCACCTCCTATGTTACAAAGTGGGGTATGAATGCCATAATGCCCGCCCGCTATTAAGCCCTCACTATTAGAAAGATGCCGACTGCCTTGCTGCCTGCTGGTCTTTGTATATCCGAGTGAGTCGTACGGTCGAGTGGTGAACCGTCATCCGAGTGGATGGTATGTTGCTTGGTCGAGTGTGGATAGTATGCTGCTTGTCCGAGTGGAATGAGCTCGTCGAGTGGAGTGCTGTTCTCCGAGTGGTTGTTGCCGTCCGAGTGACTTTGAAGCTGCGGTACGTCTGGACGGCGATCTGGCCCAGGGGCCCAGTACAAAGTGTATGGTGTCCATGGGTAGGGTCTTTAGGTCAGGCCTGTTACCCTACCCCTAATACATGTCCTCGTCAGTCAGCATATTCCATCGAGTGGGGGCGGGGGCGCAAAAGCACCGCAATCGCTCTGATCCCATGGAGATATAGGGTTTCTCCCCCAAGTTGCCCGAGTTGTGAAGGACCAGAAAATGATGGAATCCCGCAGATCTGTCCCGCCGCCGACGTGTCGCACTCAGCATCGCGCCGACCGTGACCCGGAGACCAAGCTCATGCCTGGGCCCAAATCCGGCCGCGCCGCCGCCGATCTGGTCACGCCGCCGCCGTCCCTGGCGACCGTCGCCCCAGATCTTGAAGCTGCCTGCCATGGGGTATGGGATCGTCGGAGCGCCACCAGCCCCCGCCGTGACGTCCGGCCGCACGCCACGCTCCAGCCCGGGGGTGCCGGCCCGCGCCAGCTCCTCACGAGCGGGAGGGCACCTAGTCCCCCCGCCGCCGGCAACGGCAAGGCTTTGCCTGGCTGCGCCCTCGGGCGGTGGCGAGGGAGGAGGAGGACGAGAGGGGGAGTCGGGGGCGACGGGATCTGGGGGCCTTCCAGCCGCCGCACGGGGGCGACTCAGGAGGAGAACGCAATGACACGTCGACTGAAATGCATGTTGTGGTAGTCCTATTCTTACATAATTTTGATGAGAATGCTTTGTAAACAAGGCCCCAAATTAAAGAGTACTATTAATTTGGTCTAAATCACTACAGTTATTTTGGAACGGCGGGAGTAGTTCTAAACCACTACGCCAATTTAACTTATCCACCCACTTTGTATTGCTGTGGTGCAGGATAACCACGCATGCCAAAATGGGTTAATCCTCCTATTACCTTTCTGCACGCCAAAATGCCGAAAGCACTTGCTCATCTGGGGAATGTCTTGCTGCCAATGTTTGGCCCACAAGGACATATCATCACATACATATGCTAGCACACTAAGTTCGAAGGTGGATTTGATTATTTGCCGCCATGCGCATGCACAACACAAGACTTTTAAAAGAGAGATTTGGAGATCCACCTTCAGCAGTGCAAAAGATGACTCCTGCCTAAAATCCTTTGCAAATGCATGTCACCTTCATGGGCACCAACAACCCATTACTTACCGATGTGCTCTCTAAATTCAACGAGCCAAGATAACAAGGCCACTAGCTACAAGATCGAGATAGTACAATTCAACGAGCCAAGATAACCAGGCCACTAGCTACAAGATCGAGATAGTAAAACTTTCTTCTCACAGCCACCATGGTGACAAATGTTCAAATCTAAATGGCTACATTACGCATGCGATCTCACCCCAAATCGATCGATAACTCACTCACAGCCCGTATATAAACGTACTACATGCGTGTATAGCTAGCTACACGGCGCGCTATGCAAGCTCCTAAGTTGCACCGCAGGTTGTCATCAGGCGGGCGCGCGCCTAGCTAGCTAACATGGTGGCATCAAGAAGAGCATCGTCGATGCGTGTAAGAGCTGCCATGAAGATGACATACCTCCCGGCCTTCGCCGTCGTCTTGCTCTCGGGGTGCGGCCATGCCTCCTCGAGGTCGCTGCCCTCGGTCACCACCCATGGCGCCGATGCACAGCTGGAAGGTGGCCGAGCGGCGCGCGCCAAGCTCGAGCCTCCAACCGCGAATGCTGATAAACCGCCGGAGCTCGGAATCCGCGACAACGGTTCCATTCAGTCTGAGAAGAAAAAGCGCCATGCCAAGGCGCCGCCCAAGCACCACGGGCCTGGCAAACACGCTCCCCCGGCCGACCCTTCGCCGCCGGCGCCTGATCCGGACGGCGGCCAGCCCCCGGAGGTACCTGTTCCGGAGGGCCCGCACGACCAGAACCCGCCGGCGTGGCCGTTCCCGTGGCCGCAGCCGCCACCGGGCAACGACCGGCCGCCTCTGCCTCCGTTCCCGTTCCACCCACCGCCACTTCCTGCATGGCCGCAACCAGAACCAGGCGAGCAGTGGCCCCCGCTGCCGGCATGGCCGCAGCCAGAACCAGGAAAGCAGTGGCCCCCGCTTCCTGCATGGCCGGAGCCAGGACCAGGAGAGCAGTGGCCGCCGTTCCCGGCATGGCCGCAGCCAGAACCAGGAAAGCAGTGGCCGCCGTTCCCGGCATGGCCGCAGCCAGAACCAGGAAAGCAGTGGCTGCCGTTCCCGGCATGGCCACAACCGGAGCCAGGAAAGCAGTGGCCTCCCTTCCCGTTCTACCCGCCGCCGATGCCGTCATGGCAGTGGCCGCCATCACCGTCTTTCCACGGCGAGGAGGAAGAACACGCATCTAGGCTGGCGCCGCCTGTTCCAGCGCACAACTGATGCATGCGTACAGCGCACAGGTACACAAGCGCGCGATTTTGCCCTCGCGGGAGGACACCAAATATTTGTACGACAGGAATGAATAGCAAGGATATCAAATATTAGACCGTGACCACGTAATCAATAAAGCTGGCATAATTTTATGTTGGGATCGCCTGGAACTCAGCCGGCTGGGACATAGTTATGTCTCTGACGTCACCTGCCGTCTTTTCTAATTTAAACATGATTTTTTTAGTCGCTCAGCAACCCGCTCGTTTCCTTCGATCTGGGTTGTTTATTTTTGGCTGGGCAATGTTCGTTGTCTTGTCTCGTGGGCTCTCTAGTTATGGGCCTCGTGGGTTCTCTAGTTACAGAAATAGTTGAGAGATCGAGTTTATTTCAGCCTTGTACTTTTGTTCATGAGCGTAGGAACTTTAACTTTGAAGCGCACAATCTCGCAAAATTCGCATGTAATTTAGCTATAGGTCGTCACTTATGGCTGGGTCTTCCCCCGGACCAGCTTGTACCTTTGAACATTATCCAATAAATACATGCGAGATTTCTCAAAAACAAAATCTTTCTTTCGTTGGCTCACACTCTGATGCCAAAAGACCCCTAAAAAAACATCTGATTTGAAAAACGGTATGGTGTTTTCCTATGGGAAAAGACTGGAGTTAGGTCGTGTCAT